ATATCTACGAGCGGTTGTGTCGAGGCTTGTGGGATTCAAGTTCTCGAGTTGTAAACGGTTTGTTAAGCACCCGTAAGCTTAACGGAAGTAGTGGTAGCTTCGAGAGAGTCTCTCGGGGAACTGGACTAGCCACGAGGTGGTGAACCAGTATACATCGGTGTGTTCTTTGCCTTCTCTCTTTTATTTCCGATGCACTTACGTTTATATTATTAATCCTGCGAAAATCGGTAAACATTCTCAACAACTCTATTCACCCCCCTCTAGAGTTGCACGCCTTGTCTAACAGGAGGATGCATAACCCAAACGTAGTTTGCCATTATTGCAATAGGGTAGGACATATAGCTCCCGTTTGCTTTACTAGGCATAGGCATTGGGCACAAAATGAATCACACTACCACTTTGCACCTAACACTCAAGGACCCAAAAAGACTTGGGTACCTAAATCTTATTAAATCATTTTTTAGGTATGCTTGAAGGCGTCAAGTGTACTTTGGTACCTTGATAGCGGATGCTCCAAGCACATGACCGGAGATGCATCCAAGTTCCTACAAATCAAACCCGGTAAAGGAGGAAACGTAGTCTTTGGAGATAATAGCAAGAGAAAAATTATCGACGTCGGTTCAGTAGGTAAGTTCGAAGACTCCTCTATAGATAATGTCTTGCTAGTCAAAGGTCTTAAACACAATCTCTAGAGCATAAGTCAATTATGTGATAAGGGAAACCGTGTGACCTTCGATTCGAAATCACCTTCCAAATACTCAAGGTAATTTTGCCAATACTCTGCTCTTCTCTTGCTCTTTCTCACTAAATATCTTCGATCATTTACAGGAACTTTATTTGGGGGTAATTCCTTCTTCAAATCATCAAGATTGGTTTTGCTTGCTGCATCAGAGAGTGTTGATGCAGTTTATTCAGAGGAATATATTGGCCGCTTCAATCTCAAGCTAGAAATTTAAAATGAACAAATACAATAAGCACTTAGGTTGAATTTAGAGGTAGAATCTAAGAGATGATTTTTACACACTCAGACAATAGCACAGTAGAACGCCTTAGTGACAATAAGGTCATTCTACGTGGTGATAGAATCGATAACATATATATGGTTAACTTAGACAAATCTTCTTCTGGCTTTGCTAAGTGCCTCATGAGTAAAGAGGAAGACACTTGGTTATGGCACCGAAGGGTAGGTCATATGAACATGAACCTTTTGAACAAATTGGTTTCACAAGACTTAGTAATTGGCATTCAAAAACATAAGTTTGAAAAAGACACCATATGTGATGCATGTCAAAAGGGGAAGCAAGTTCGGGCTTTGTTTAAGTCTAAGAACGTTGTTTCAACGTCTAGACCGCTTCAACTTTTGCACATGGATCTCTTTGGTCCTTCTAGAACGAAAAGTTTTGGTGGCAATTACTTTGCGTTTGTGATTGTCAATGACTACTCTAGGTTTACATGGACCTTGTTTCTAACTCATAAAAGTGAGGCTTTTCACGTTTTTAAAAATTTTCTAAAGAAAGTTCAAAATGAAAAAGAAACAACCATTGTAGCCATAAGAAGCGACCATGGGGGAGAGTTCGAACGAAATCTATTCTCAGATTTATGTGACGAACTCGGCATTGATCATAATTTCTCAGCCCCACGTACACGACAACAAAATGGAGTGGTGGAACGTAAAAATAGATGTCTCGAAGAGATGGCTAGAACTATGATCAATGAGGCAAAAATCCCTAAGTATTTTTGGGCGGATGCCGTGAGTACCGCGAGCTACATTTTAAACCGAGCCGTCATTCGACCGATACTCATGAAAACGCCCTATGAACTATACAAAGGGAGAAAGCCAAACCTTTCCCATCTTCGAGTTTTTGGTTGCAAATGTTTTATTCATAACAATGGCAAAGACAATTTAGGCAAATTTGATGCCAAGTCGGATGAAGGAATTTTTCTGGGTTACTCATTACAAAGCAAGGCCTATAGAGTCTTCAATAAACGTACCTTGGCTATTGAGGAGTCCCCTCACGTTGTATTTTCCGAAGATAATCCTCGCTTGGCGAGAAAGGATATTTGTGATGATCTTGCAGATTCATTAGAGAGAATACACGTTGATGACGATGAAGAGAACACGGGAATATACACCAACACGCAGCCGCAAACTGAGGAGATACCTCAAGCGACTAACCAAGGTGAAGAAGAAAATCAAGAGGAAGAAGAAGAACAAGAGGAACACGAAGAAGAAGCAACCGAGCTTCCCATTGCATGGAGAACAAACAAGAACCATCCGCTTGACCAGGTAATCGGTAGCATCAACCGCGGGGTAAGTACTCGTAACTCACTTAGGGACACCGTAGGACACATGGCTTTTGTTTCTCAAATTGAACCTACAACCATTTCCGAAGCAATAAACGATGAACATTGGACCTTGGCTATGCAAGAGGAGCTAAACCAGTTCAAACGGAATGACATTTGGGAATTGGTTCCAAGACCCGATGATCGTACGGTTATTGGTACGAAATGGGTGTTCCGTAACAAACTTGATGAAAATGGAATAATCACTAGAAACAAAGCTAGGCTCGTAGCTAAAGGCTACACTCAAGAAGAAGGCATTGACTTCGAAGAAACTTATGCACCCGTAGCACGTTTAGAAGCTATTTGTTTACTTCTTGCTTTTGCTTCGTCTATGGATTTTAAACTTTATCAAATGGATGTTAAGAGTGCCTTCCTCAATGGTTTTATTCAAGAGGAATTGTATGTTGACCAGCCCCTGGGATTTGAAGACTTTGAGTTTCCTGACCATGTCTTCAAACTCAAGAAAGCGCTCTACGGTCTTAAACAAGCACCCCGTGCTTGGTACGAACGTTTGAGTAAATTTCTTTTGAATAGTGGTTTCCAAAGGGGAAAGGTTGACACTACACTTTTTATCAAGAGTAAAAATAATAACATCCTTTTGGTTCAAGTTTATATAGACGATATTATATTCAGTGCTACTAACGAGTCTTTGTGCAAGGAATTCTCAACGCTAATGACAAGCGAATTTAAAATGTATATGATGGGTGAGCTTACATTCTTTTGGGACTCGAAGTCAAGCAAATCAAAGATGGCACGTTCATTTGCCAAACCAAATATTGCAAGGAACTTCTAAAACGATTCGAATTGGACAACGCCAAAGCCATGGCGACCCCGATGAGCACGTCCGACCATCTAGACAAAGACGAAAAAGGTAAGGAAGTTGAAGTCAAAAAGTATCGAGGTATGATCGGATCCCTTCTCTACCTTACCGCTAGTAGGTCGGATATCATGTTTAGTGTATGCCTTTGCCCAAGGTATCAATCATGTCCGAAGGAATCGCACTTAACGGCGGTGAAACGGATCATGAAATACCTTGTAGGCAGGGTTAATGTTGGACTGTGGTATCCAAAAGGCTCTTCGTGTCATCTCATTGGTTATTCCGACTCGGACTTTGCCGGTTGCAAATTGGACCGTAAAACTACGAGTGGGACTTGCCACTTACTTGGTGATAAGTCCGTTTCGTTCTTATCTTTTACATCATATTCTAAACGTTATTGCACGTAAATAGTATTTAATCATCTCATAAAATGTGGTTTTAATGGATAACACTCTCATTTTCGTTCTAAGAGTCATAAAATGGGATTCCACATGAAATCATCATAAATCATCCATTTTTGTTCAAGTATTTGAGAAAAGGGGAATAAATCATCAAAGGATCAAGATTCGGGCTTGAACGAGCTTCCGGGAGGTCAAAAACAGTGTTCGGGGCCAAAACAGAGCGAAATTGGGCCAAAATCACGAATCAGCCGCGAAGCCCAACGGACCAAGGCCTCCAGGCGTCCAACTTGGACGCTTGGCCAAGTTGGACGCTTGAAGTTGGACGCCTGGGCTAGATTGCAATCCAAGAAAGACACGTGGCAAAATCTGGTTGGCCGGGACAGCTCAGGCGTCCAGATCTGGACGCTTGGACTTGGACGCTTTGACTTGGACGCCTTGGATCCATTCCTATAAATACAGCACGAATCTTCTCATTTTTATCATCCCATTCCATCCCAACTTCGG